TAAAGTGTCGTTCTTACTGCACTGCTGAAGTGATTTGTTATTCTGAGTTTTGATTTGTTAGTTACCAAGGATGGGCCCGAAATGGATGTGCGCAAGGTAATATTATACTGGATAATTTTAAAAATTGATCATAAATAGTTTTAGAAGATAGATGTTTATTTAAGAAAAAATATAAAATAGAAAAGAGAAACATAAAGTGCTCCTCCCACTATTGTATTAATATATTTTGCTTTGGCTTTATTGATACAATATCTGTTTTGCGGATATAATCGTGTGGGCTGAAGAAAAGATTATATCTTTTTTTCCATTTTTTTAATTAACATTTCTTTTTCTTTTTTTTAAATAAACTGTTGTTTGTTATTTTTTTACTTATTATTTCCTCCCCCCCTTTTTTTTTCTTCATATGTCTATAATTTTTATATATTTTTATATATTATTATGTCTATAATTTTTATATATTTAAATATATATATTTCTCTTACACGGTGACAAAAAAAAGCCTCATTACAACTCCCCGAATGGCAAAGCTAGAAAATCGACCAATGATTGCCGCTAAAAATGTCACATGCCAAATCTAGCTGAGGTGGCTCAACATATAGCGCTTTTAAAAACGGAAATAACCAGAGATAGCATTCTCACCAAATGTGATCTCTTCTGAAATTCACCCTATCAGCTGCGGCAATCTCATACTATTAAGCTAGGCAGAAGTGAGTAGTCTTTGTCGATAGATCTCTATTTTAGTATTTTGTTGAAAGTTTTTTTTTTCACGAATTTATATATTACGAATTTATTTGACGATTTTTGATTTATAGCACGAATTTATTAGTTTTAGTATTGTTATTAGCTATTCATTGAAAAATGAGTCTCAGTCGCGCTGTTACGATTTAAGATTTTATAATATAGCACATTTCTAATAGGTTTAACGAATTACATGTCATTTATTTGAATTCAGTTTTACTTTAATGACTTAGTATTTACTAAAAAGATGTAATTTTTTTTTTAAAAAAAAAACTTGTTATATGGATTTGAATGATTTCTTAGAATTTTGTACATTTGCAACGTACCTAAGTTAGTAGCGAGCGAAGCAAACCATATAAGATTGCGTGGCAATTTTCGGGGGTTGGCGAGCGTAGGCGAGCAGGGGGAGCAGCCCACTAGTGCATAAATAATCTCGGTTTATTAACACTCTTAGAAACACTCATCTGCTATTAAAAGCTCAAATTGAAAATGAATTAATTTTAATACATATATGGGAAAAGTATTTTTTGTTTCTTACCAAATTGCAATCACTTCAGTATTACCTGAAATGGATGAAAAATATGGTTATTAAATTTTATAAATCAAAGAAAAATTAATGATTTTGCAAGAGATCATCATTAAAACGTGCAAAACTAACAAGGTAATGTTGCGTAGTTTTAATTTTTTCCTTTTTTTAAAAAAAAAAATTGTATTTACGTTACTGCAGAACAAAAAATCTTACCTTTTTCCAGAATATATGTATCAATTCCTTCTCTGTAAGAAAAATAATAATAATAATAAATCAGTAAACAGGAGTATTTAAAATACATAATGATCATTCTCTGTTATGGTAAGATTTTTATCCTTTAAAAAAAAAAAAATGAACACATGAGGATAGTGATGGCTCACACCTGTAATCCCAGCACTTTGGGAGGCCGAGGCAGGCGGATCTCAAGGTCAGGAGATCGANAATAACTCATAAAATACTTTGTGCAAAATATTTTATACAGCAGTAGACTGAAAATAAATCTTTCTGAATTTCTGGTAATTTTAGAAGTTTCTCCGCGAGAGACCTGGACAGTTTGGCGTTTCATATGAACTTGAGAATCATATGAATTGAGTTATTTTCAACATTTGTGGTGTTGAAAATAACTTTAACCCGTTTTAACTAAAAACATTTATACTGAAGTTATACAATAAATATTGTAGCTTTATGAAAAAAGATATGAAGATGATATTTTTCTACCGTTACTATCTATTTCATTTTATTGAAGTGAAACTTCTAATGCGACTTCCAACAAGGTTGCGTTAAACGTTTTACGCTACCATGGCAACGAGCTGCCTGTGATCCTTGCAGGAGATTTTAATGTGAATTTCTCGTTACCTGAAGCTGAAACATTATTAACCTTCCTTAAAGACAAATTTGGATTGGATATGATAAATGGTAGGAATGATCCAACAACCAAAGGGGGAACTATCATTAATGCAGTTTTTGCAATAAATATTGAAAAAATAGAACTCAAGCATTTCGTATCGTACTTTAGTTATCATAATCCCATTGTAAATGTTATAGGTTTGGATATTTCTCCACTCGAAAATGATAATTAAAAGATGCGATCCATTGTGAATTGTAAACAATAAAGTTTGTCTTAAAGAAACAATAAAATTTCACTAAAAATCAATTTCTACCCCTTCCTATTGTCATTTCCACAGTACGAAGTTTCACTTCTGCGCGGAGGGACTCCACGCACTATTGTTTTTTTTATTTATTTTTTTTTTACCAATTTTAATAAAAGATACCTAAGTCATTGGTAAATTACAGTGGGTGAGGGTCTCCTAATGTTCGTAGAGAAAGTATGATTTTGAAACAATAGTCCAACCAAATTTATGTTTTTGAAAAAAAGTAAGTGGTGCATAAATATGAGGCTGGCCTTCAACCAGATGAATCAAATTTATAAACAAAAGAATAATATATTAAAACTTAAACTTGCAAAAGCTAAAAGAAGTTTTCCGAAAAAAATATAGTGAAATTGCAGCAACGTATTATGATTTAATAAATTGGAAGTGAAAGAATTTTTATACCACCTTGAAATAAATTTTAAAAGGTATATATTATGTCAGAATGTCACTTTTGCAAGAACGTCGCTAACACTTTTAACAATCGATCAATGGCGTTACGCGCCAATGAATGAAGTTTTAACAAGAATAACTTAGCCAGAAATGCCAATTTGCTCCACTTTGTAAAAAAAATATTTTGTAGTGGTAGCGAAATTTAAATTATTTTTAGTTTAGTATTTTTTCTTTTTCAGTAATTTTTACAATATTACTTATCAAAAATTCAAAGGATCATTTGAAATGCAACCTTATTATAGTAATCTCAAGGTGACACTTTTAAGAATAAGATGTAATAATCCTTATTCTACAAAATTTACAATTTCATTCGCTACCAATTTATTAAAACTTTAGTAGAAAGTGGAGTAATTAGCATCAATATACATGCATATATACATATATATATACAGGGTGTTTATAAAGTACCGGACCCATTTTGATGTTTAATAACTCATAAAATAATAAAGATAGATTAAAATTAATAACATAAATGGTTAGATAGACTCAAAAAGTTTCATGACCCTTGTCAATGAACTTCCACGTGTGCCCCCTTCATCGCACGGAGAATATCAAGTCGATAGTCAATTTCACGCCAGGTAGCGGCAAGCATGTCGGCATCCACAGAGGCTATTGCGGTTGTAATTCTGAAGGAGGTCCAATTCTTTGGCCACCCAGATCATCTGATATAACGCAGCTGGACTTTTTTTCTTTGGGGATTTTTATAAAGGACATTACAGGAGGATCGTGTCGAATATTGATGACCTAAAAGCCGGAATTACAACCACAATAGCCTCTGTGGATGCCGACATGCTTGCCGCTACCTGGCGCGAAATTGACTATCGACTTGATATTCTCCGTGCGACGAAGGGGGCACACGTGGAAGTTCATTGACAAGGGTCATGAAACTTTTTGAGTCTATCTATTTTGAGTCTTATGTTATTAATTTTAATCTATCTTTATTATTTTATGAGTTATTAAACATCAAAATGGGTCCGGGACTTTATAAACACCCTGTATATATGTTACGGCCAAAGCCCGAATTCGGCCAATTTGCGAAATGACTATGAAAGCTGTAAATTGGCTGGCCAATGACCGATCTTTTCTTGATTTCGGGAATTAGCCTACCAGATCGCGAAATGGCATGGGAGTATCAGCCAAAGTTGGAAGAAAAAATCCTTGGCACGTATTATTGGCTGTGTATAAACATAACTTCATTTTTTAAAAATTACTAGCTAACTGCGGTGGGATGTGGCCATTTGAGACAAAGTATTTAAAAACTTGTCTATTTCTTTTTATCTCGTTTTGGTCGGAACATCGCGGCCACTTCGCGAAGCTACCGGACTTCGGGCTCTGGCCATAACATATATATAT